TCTCTCTCTCTCTCTCTCTCTCTCTTTCTCTCTCTTTCTCTCTCTTTCTCTCTCTCTCCTTTTTCTTTCCTCTTCCCCCCTCTTTTCCTTCTTCAAGTTTTAAGTGCTAGGGAGATGGCTCATTGGTTAAAGTATTATAGTACAATCGTGAAGACCAAAGTTCTCACCCACAGAACGTGCCCCCCCAAATTTCCTGAGCTTTGATGTGTCTGTAAATGAGGCTTTTGTAAGTTATCTTTTTGTTTAATGCCATTTTAAAGAATCCTTTCCTTCAGTAGTATTTGTTGTTGGTACCACTAGCTTGTGCTTTTGATGTTCATAGGTAGAAGCAGTATGTATATATATATCACATATAGATCTACATATCACATATGTAGACACATAATCTACATATATATCTACACATGTGATAATATGTAGATTATATATCTATACATCACATATGTAGATTATGAGTCACATGACTCATAATCCATGGTATTAACTAAACTGATAGTCAAGTTGACACAGCCTGGGAAGGAAAGCCTCAATTGAGAATCACCTTGATCAGGTTGGCTGTGGGCATTTCTATGGGGGATTGTCCTTGCCCACTGTGGGAGGCACCATTCCCTGAGCAGGTGGGGAAACAGTAATCAAGATACATTGTGTCATATATATATATATGAAACTTTTATTTTTATTTTATGTTGTTTTGCCTGCACGTATGTCTGTGTGAGAGTGTCAGATCCCCTGGACCAGGAGTTACAGATAGTTGTGTGCTGCCATGTGGGGTGCTGGGAATTCAACCCGGGCCCTCTGAAAGAACACTCAATCTTCTTTACTATCAAAGCATATCTCCAGGCCTCAAGACAGAGTTTCTTTTCTTTTTCTTTTTTTTTAATAGTCTTTTAGTGTGATGTGACCAAGTATATGTGTTGGCAGGAAAGGAATATGAATTTTTTTAATTAATTTATTTTATATAAGTGAGTACACTGTTGCTGTCTTCGGACACACCGGAAGAGGGCATCGGATCCCATTACAGATGGTTGTGAGCCATCATGTGGTTGCTGGGACTTGAACTCAGGATCTCTTGAAGAGCAGTCAGTGCTCGTAACCGCTGAGCCAGCTCTCCAGCCCAAGACAGGGTTTCTTTGTGTAGTACTGGCTGTTCTGGAACTATCTCTGTAGACCAGGCTCACAGAGATCTGCATGCCTCTGCTTCCTGAGTGCTGGGATTAAAGGCGTGTTCCACTACTACCCTTCAAGAAAAGAACCTATTTTCAATGAAAGGAATAATAATAATAATAATAGAATAAAGAAAGCTAAAACATGTGTCTGTGAGGGAGCCAGCAAACAGCATTCCTCCATGGATGTTGCTTTGGGTACCTCTCTGGCTTCCTTCAATGATGGACTGTGACCTGGAAGCCAAATAATACAACCCCTGCCTCCTGGCTACTTTTTACAGAGTGATTGGTCACAGCATCAGAAAAGTACATGGTAACTTTCTTGGGATGAGTATGAGTTTTCACTATATTACAAAATTAATGTTAACATAAGCATATCTACATTAGAATAATATATAATAGCACTGATGGGCCAGTTTTTTCCAAATCCCTACAAACTTTATAAAAGCTCTGAATTTTCAGTTTAGTATGGAAGAAAAAGTGAACGAAAAATTTGTGTGTGTGTGTGTGTGTGTGTGTGTGTGTGTGTGTGTGTGTAGAATGGCAAGGTCTCATGAGTCCTTGAACTTGATGTATAGCCAAGAGTGGCCGTGCTCCTCCTGTCTCTGCCTAAGTACTGGAATCACAGCTGTGTGCCACAGTGACTCGTTTTGTTTCATTTTTAAAAGATTTTTATTTTTTAAAGTTATGTCCATGTGGGACTGGTGACATGGACATGAGTGCAGGTTCCCGCCAAGGCAGGAGGTTGAAGGCTGCCTGCTGTAAGGGCTGGGAACCGAACCTGTGTCTGGGAGCAGTACAATCTGTAAACACTGAACCGTCTCTCCAGCGCCTTCTCTCATTTCTGATGATTAGGATGGGCGTGGTGTTTGAACTTTAAGGCAGGAAATTAACAGCATGACAACGTCCATAGCTGTAGGGAAGCATGATAAATTGTCTGGGCCACTCTGGCCTACGGCTGTTGAGTAATCTTTTGTTGTTATTTTGTTTTTTTTGAGACAGGGTTTCTCTGTGTAGCCCTGGCTGTCCTGGAACTCACTCTGTAGACTGGCAGAAGCTATACTGTAACTTACAGGAGAAGCACATGAGTGTGCCTTGGCAGGAGGTTGAAGGCTGCCTGCTGTAAGGGCTGAGAACCGAACCTGTGTCTGGGAGCAGTACAAGCTGCAGACCCTTCAATGGAGCCCTTCTAGCTTTGGATATGAATATTCTTATGGTAATTCTTAGTTTGCTTTGTCAGCCATCAGAGTTTCCTGGGAACAGAAGCCCCTTGGATGAGTCTTTGATAATTTTTCTAAAGTTTCCACAAGAAAATTAAGCGTCTTTGCAGTATATCAGAGAAACTGGTTCCTCCTGTTGCTCCTGACGGCCGCTGCAGTCATCTTGACTAGGCAAGAGGAACTCACTAAGGTCAAAGTTTCCTGCTTAGTTAACTGTTCTAAGAGACAGAGACAGACAGAGAGAGAGAGAGAGAGAGAGAGAGAGAGAGAGAGAGAGAGAGAGAGAGAGAAACTATATCCCAAGAATGTAGGAGATGGTTTCCCGAAAGATGACATCAAGAACTTATAGAATGTATAAAGGAGAAATAAAGGGTGTAAAAGTTCAGACTTTGCTGGCTGAAAAAATACAGAAGCAGCATACTGTTAAAAGCCAACCACAGTGCTTGCCTGTCTTTCATTTCTGTAACAGCGTGTCTGCTGCCAGCCTGGGCACAGCACGAATAGGCGGTGCCTGGCTAGATAGAATCATTCGGCTTGCGATATAAAATTCATGCTTAGATATGAAGTAAAGGTTAATTAGTGTTTAAAAATGCAGGGTAAAGGTCCATTAAGAAAGGCGTGGGAGGAGGGAAGGAGGAAAAGAAACCAAATGTTAGTGATTCTCGGAAAATGGGTAAAGAGAAATGAGTTAAAACGGCTCATGCTTGAGTGCATTAAAACGTCTGGAGAGATGGCTCAGTGGTTAAGACCACTGATTGCTCTTCCAGAGGTCCTGAGTTCAAATCCCAGCAACCACATGGTGGCTCACAACCATCTGTCATGGGATCTGATGCCCTCTGCTGGTGTGTGAAGACAGCTAGTGTGAAATAAATAAGTCGTATATGTATCGTATGTATATAGTGTATAGGCATATGTAGCTTGAGCCATTCAGAGCCATCTGATTGAGAGATAACCAGTGGTCAGACTCCTCATTTTCACCGACTTACACATCTGTTCTACAGCCCAGAACCCTGCTAGAGTTGGACTCCAGCAGTAGACCCGATTGGCCTGCCTCTGCCTCTGGAGAGCTGGATTAAAGGCATGCACCACCAGCGCCCGGCTGGAGTAGTCTAAACGAGGAATAGCTCCTCTCTGCTTCCCGCTGAGGTTTTGAGAACTTGAAGCTTTCCTTTTTAAACCGTATTTAAATTGTTTAGGTTTGTTTTGTGTGTATGAATATTTTGCCTACATGTATGTCTGGGCACCACATGTGTGGTCAGTGTCCATGGAGTTCATCAGAGTGTCAGATCCTCTGGAACCAGAGCTGCAGGCAGCTGTGAGCCACCATGTAAATGCTGGGAATTGAACCTGGGTCCTCTGGAAGAGCAGCCAGTGCTCTTTACCAGGGAGCCATCTCTCCAGCCCCAGGGGGGATTTATTAAAGAACTTAATGACCATTGAAAATCCTAGGACACTAGAGGACAATGAATGCAGTGCTCAGCTAAGAAGCCCGTGAGCTTGAGGAAGTCTCTCAGGTCTACATTGCATATCTCATGTATATAGAAAGACCTGGTCGTGGTAATGTTCACTTGTAATCCCAGAAAATAGCATGTGCAGGCAAAAGGAATAGTAGTTCACAGCTTCCCTAGGAGATATATTGCACATATAACCCTTTAAAAACTCTTAGAGGTCACTGGTGGGGGTTCATGACTTTAATCCCTGCCACAGAAGGCAGAGGCAGGCAGATCTTTATGAGTTGGCCAGCCTGGTCTACATAGTTCTAAGTCAACCATGGGTACATAGAGATACCATGTCTCAAACAACAAAACTCTGTTATTGTTGGGATAACTCTGCAGGTAGATGTGCTTGTCAAGTGTGAGAGTCTAGGTTCCACCCCAGACCCCACAAGGCAGGAGAGAGGTGACTCCTGCAAGTTGTCCTCTGACCTCCACATGTACGCCACGGCATATATAAGCTGCCCCCCACCGAGTCCCACACTAAATAAACATAAAAGAATCTCTCAGATCTTTTATTGTGAGATGTTTACCCACGAGCATACAAAACAAATCCTTAAGGGATTACAAAAGAAAAGAAAAAGACGTAACAAAAGTGGGCATTCTTGTAACTACCGCCAAGATCAGAACATGGTGCATCTCAAGTAAATAAATTATACCAGGCTGTAGATGTTGTCAGTGAGAGAGGTCGGAACTTTGAATGTTAGTATTCAAAACACTCCAGGCTCTATACCCAGGACAAAAAAAATTTTTTTCTCCTTCCAGAAATGTGAGAAAAACAAACAAACAAACAAAAATAAACAAAAAACAAAAACCCAAAAGAACAACAAAAAACAACAAAACAAACAAACAAATGAAACACATCCAGGACTTTCATCTTCCATGAAGATATTTGTGACTAACGTGTCACATCTGGCACACCTGTACCCATCACCACACTGGCTGTCTACAGACTTTTCGTAGACCCCACTTGGTGGAACTGTTTGAGATGGATTAGCCTTATTGGGGAAAGTGTGTCACTTGGGGTGGGCTTTAAGGTTATAAAAGCTTATGCCAGTGTGGCCCCCTCCCGTCCGTGTGTGTGCATGCATCCCCCCCACCCCAACCCCCCACTCGTGATCAGGATGTAAAGCTCTCAGCTACTGCTCCAGCGCCATGCCTGTCTGCTTCCCACCATGATAATCATGGACTAAACTTCTAAAACTGTAAGCAAGCCCTGGGTTAAAGGCTTTCTTCTACGAGAGTTGCCTTAGTCATGGTGTCTCTTCACAGCAATAGAACAGTAACTAAGATAGATGTCCAGGCAGTGTCAGGACTTGGTTCTTGCTTAGAGCTGGGGCTTCCTATTTAATTTCTTTCTGGTCCCTGGCCCCTTCAAAGAGAGTAAAAAGTAAAGTTTGATTTAGGGGCTCCTCTCCCTATCCTCTGAGTCAACAGAGAGGCCTACAGCTGTTCCTTCTAGAAGATTGGCCTTTGGTCTCCAGGTCAGAGGCTGAGCCACTTCTGGGCACACAGGCACGGTGGTGCCTGTCTGTGCCTTCCTCAGCTGGGTGCTGTGGCCTCCTCCTGGGGCCTTGGAGGGAGCTTGGCCTCAGGCTGATGGCAAAGAGTAAGGGTCCTCCCCTCAAGGAGCCAGAAGACAGGGAAGAGAGGCTGGCTGAAAACAGCGTAGAAAGTGTGCAGCTGTTGTGTGTGTGGTTCCAGACTGTAGAAGGTCAGGCGCCCAGAGGTCAAGTTCAAATCTATGCCCAGGAGTCGTCCAGGTACTCCATGCAGACGTCGAGATTTGCCGTTGTGCCAGGCCTGGATACTGTCCTCCTGGATGCAGAGGCCCCAGGAGTAGGGTCCACGACCGATGTTATCCGTATGGGCCCCCAGTTTTTGGCGTGACAGCTTTGGGTAGGTGACGCCCAGAGTGACGGAGTGATCAGAGGCGCGTACCTCCCAGTAGTGTTGTCCAGTCTGAAAACTCTGGGTACACTGCACCTGCCACAGCTCAAAGCTGCCTGACCTGGCTGGGCCCTGGGCCTGGAAATGGTGTGTCACCTGCTGGTCCTTGTGAGACAAGTGCAAATACTGGTTGGCAGTCTCTGGGTCAAAAGTCAGGTTGCGATAATCTATTGGAGAGAGATGAACAGAGTGGGCAAATCTGTCAGGTTTTCCTAGAGCGTAGGGTTACTGTGGCTCCGTCTACAGACAGTTTTAATGTCTACCGGGCATAGTGGGCCAAATACCAGGCACCATCTTACCAGTGAATCCCTCATGGCTCCCTTGGAGCTGGAATCCTACCCTATGTTACAAGAGGGGAAACTGAGGCTCAGAGAGTTATGCTCACATACTATTAAGAGGAAGAAATGGGATGGACCCCAGAATGTGCCCTTTAACACCATGCTGGCTGTATCTGCCTCAGGGTTGATGTGGACAAGGTTCACATCTCCTCAGGCATGCAGAGGTGGGGACAGACCCAGGGAGGAGAGTGGACAGGGCAGTTAGAGCAGATACCCCCCCCATACATACACAAGCATATGCATGCTCTCATGTGCACACAATTGTCACATGCACACACACAGGCATTGGGTCTCCTTACTTTGCCAGAGCTTCTTCCTCAGTGGACACACTGTGCTGGGGACTGGTGACAGGGGACCCAAAGCCTCTAAAGAACAAAGCAGAGGTAAGGAAGTGGGTGGGGATTATCCCTGACTCCCTGCTCCTACCCAGTAGTGGGGGTGGGGTAGGTCCCAGAGGGCAAGGAGAAGTCAGCTTACCCATGGGGCTGGCATCGGCCGCTTTGACTGCTGCCTTAGGGAGGTTCTTCTCTCCGAGGAGGAGCGCACAGAGAGGGCTAAGCAGCTGGTTCACGTTGTTCAGTAGCTGCTCGTCATCCCACTGTGGAGAGCTCAGTGGACTGAGGGACTCTGTAGGCTCAGGGAGCTGCTGTAACTCCTGAACCCCGGGGACAGAGGCAATGAGTGGTGTGCAAGGTGTGGAAGCAAGGCCCTACCCCGCTGCCCTGAGAGCTGGTACCTGGAAGAAGATATAGTCATCCACCTGCCCCAGGAGATCCTGCACACTGTGGTCATACTGAGACAAGGCTTTTAGGTGGTCAGTCAGTCGCTGTTTCTCATTCACAACTTGGTCCAGCGCCTGTTTCTTGGCTACCTCTATATCACCCAGTGTTGAGGCCTGCTGCTTCTCCAGCACCTGAAGCAGGCTACTGAATCTCCTGGAGACTACTGAGGCCAGGGTGGAGGCTGAACTCTGTGTGGGCACAGGAGGAACCTCAGGGGGAGGCAGTGTTCATATTATAGCAAGGCAAGCCAGGGCCTCAACCACCCACTTGGCTAGAAGGGTGGGCACATGGGAAGTCAGTTAGGACCCTTGCAACCTCTTCCCCACTGGGGCCTGGCTTCCTGGTCGACTACCCACTCCCTGGCACTGGGAGGGATTTGCGAGACAGCTCACATCTGTCGCCTGCAGTCCAGGGAGCAGATGGTGAGGCCGGCCTGAGCACATGGTGAAGTACCTCAATCCGACTGCTTTGCTGCTGCAGCTCTTGAAGCTGGGTCTCTGCCCGGGTGACCTGTTGCCGGGTAACCCGTACCCTAGCTCTCAGCTGGTCCTGTGGCACCCATCCAGAAAGCAAGCAAAAAAAGAAGGTTAGGATTGGTTATAACCTTCAAGCCACCACCCATACAGGTGCTAGGTACTCTCCTCATGCCCCTGATGATAACTGCCTTGTAAAATCCCAGAACTAGGTCAGAGTTTCGGGGAGGCCTGGATAGGGACCTTTCTCTACATGGAGCAGGATACTATATGAGGAATGTGGGGGTCTTGGGTTGAAGATCCCCCCTTCCAGTCTCACTTCTGCGTCTTGCAGGTTGAGTGACCTGGGCAGAGCTCCCAGCTTCTCCGGTCCATAATCTCATCCCTACCCCAGGCAACAAAGGAGAGCGGTAACACTGGCTTACAGAGCCTGGGGCAGAAAGGGAGACTGGCCAGAGTTATCTGATCAGTGATCAGTTCAGCTCCTAAGGGCCCAAATGCAAGACATTAGTATTATTTGGTTGAGATGTTTCCCCTGGAGACCAAAATGTGCTGTTATAGGAACTGGGAACACCATTCTGGTACCCAAAGCTGATGATTGACCTGGCTAAGAGTCTCATTATCTGTTTCTAGTCCTTCCAACACCATTTTGAGTTGGGGCCCCTTATCATCGTTGCTTTGAGACAGGGTCTCATTATGTAGCCCTGGCTGGCCTAGAACTTTCCAGTAGACCAACCTGATCTTGAACTTAAAGAGATCCACCTACTTCTGCCTCTAGAGTTATGGAGTTAAAGGCATGCACCACCACGCCAGCTAACTTATTTAAAAAAAAAAAATTGTGTTTATGTAAGTGTGGGTACATGCATACATGCCAGCATGCACATGTGAAGGTCAGGGGGGTCACCTCAGGTGTCTCAGATGGTGCCCTGTACCGTAAGACAGGGTCTCGTGTCTGCCACTGTGTATGCGAGCCCGTGGCCATCCCGTGCTTCACATCCTCTCCTCTCAAGCACAGTTCTGTCCTCTGGGGCATGAGCCATCTGGCTGAGGTATTCCTCCATGCTGTGGGCTTCTAACCTCCAATGCTGGCCTCCGACACTTGTCACGGGCAGCAGTGCCTCAGCCGTACTCCTTGGGGCTTCAGCAGCTCCAGGGCTCACCCTTCAACCCTCTGAAACACCCTTTCTTTCCTTCTGATTCTGCCACTCACTCTCTGACCTCACCCTGGCCCTGTCACCAGCTCTAAACCGTCCCAAGCATCTATCCTTACCCCCACTTTCTACCTCTCACTGGTTCCACCTTGCCCGTGCTAGTCCTCCACTGGCCACTCAGCCCCCTCCTTCCCCATCCGTCAGGCTTCTCAGTCACACCTCGCCTCCTCATCCATGGGCTATGCTGTCTGTGAAGTACTGTCCTCTCCTCCGTCCTGGTGGTGATGGCCATGGGCACAAGGCACAGGGCACAGGCCACCACCACGGTGCCAATTCCATGTTCATTTTGCCTTTAACTCAACCTCTCAGCAGCATGGAGCAGCTGGAGAACTCTCCCTCCTGTAACTGCCTGTGCCCTGGACGCCATCTCTGTAGCTCTGTCAGGATGGAATCTCATCTCGGGCAGGACCTCCCCTGCCCAACAAATTTCCACTCCTTCTGGGGAACTATAGTGACTTCCGGCTTTCTCCTTACTGGCCACATCTCCCTCAAGCTCTCGGTAGGTGCCTGTCACCCCCCTTTCTGTGTACCCCACTGCATCCACACAGTGCATATCCCAAGTCAGCCGCTCCTTACCCACTGTTAGCCCACCAGTCTCCCACAGAAACCCTCGTCCTCAGCTGTCCCTATGTCTTCCTCTTTCCACTGGGCACCGGGCCCCCATCCCTTCTCATTTCTTTCGCTTTGCAGCTGTGACCTCCTTCCTCTTATCCCTCAGCTCTTACCCCCTCCACACCCCAGCTGGGGCTCAGACTCCTGAAAGCGGAAATCTGATGACATCATCGCCCTGTCTCAAGCTTGCGAAGGCTCCGCACATCCCTAGAGGAATCGTCACCACCACCATGCTACCCACCATGGTCTGGTCCCTGATGAGCTGGAAAATCTGTTTAGAGATCTCAGGAACCTGGCTCCTGCCTATCGTCTCTGCTCCTCGCTCCTCAGCACGTGTCCCTGCATTCTCTTTTTATCTTTTTCTGGCTGGCACTTTCTCACCCCTGAGGAGCCACCTAAAGAGCACCTCCCATTCCTCTTAAGCAGGGCTGGCCCGGCTGTCTCTATCAAATGAAACCTTCACCCTGAAGGACAGAAAGCACGCTTACTGACTGCTGGCCACTTTAGCGAATGGGGCTGCCAGCCCTGGCCTAACATTCCGGCTCTACTTTATTCAGAGGACCGCTTGTGCGGCAGTCATGTGCCCTCTAGGTTCCTACGGGCAGCTGCAGCCTCCTGCTGCAGCCCCTGGCCCTGGTCACAGCGGTCCCCGCCCTCCGAGAGGCCCTTCCTGCACCTCGCGTGCGCGGCGCTCCACGTCCAGCAGTGCCCTCTCGTGGTGGCTGCAGTCGTGCACCGTGCACGCACTGCACACGCAGAGACCCTCCGTGCGACAGAAGAACTCGAGCGGCCTCCCGTGGCGCGGGCAGCGAGCGCTGTGACCCGTGGCGCTGTCCCGGCGCGGGATGGCGGCGGGCTGTGCCTGCAGAACGCTGGGCAGCGCCTGCAGCAAGTTGCTCAGCGCTACGTTGCGGCTCAGCTTGGCGCCCTCGGGGAAGGGCTGGCGACACTCGGGGCATGTCTTCTCGTCGCAGCGGCGCCACGAATCCTGGATGCAGTTCCCGCAGAAGCTGTGCCCGCAGGGCAGCGTCACTGGGTCCCGGTAGCGACCTAGGCAGATGGAGCAAGTCACCTGGTCCTCCTCCAGCAGCTGAGCGGCCATAGCGGAAGGAAGCCCGGTGCGCAGACCTCTTAAAGGGACCGAGGCTACCAGTGTGACTTCTGTGGAAGGGCTGGGGACAGTCCAGGAAGACGCGGCAGTGCGCAGGGCATCCGGGGTGCTGCACTCTGGTTCCCTAGAACGTTCCTTGGCAGGGATCCAAGTCACACTTGCCGGCCTTCTGACGCACTGGGAGCTGGGGTGAGGCTCCCTCCGGTCCACCCGATACCTCTAGGTTCTTTCTCTAGACCCTTATCTCCGGCTCCTGTTCCTCCTGAGGACCTGGCCTTATAGGCTTGGAACCCCACCAGGCCCTGGGCTGTCAGTTGTCCCTGGCATGTTTTCCCAGACATTGAAAACGGGAGCGAGGCATGGAGCCTGGTGATGCTTGGTAAAAGCGCCTCACCAGGTCCGTGGTGTTTTTTGTTTTTTGTTTTTTTGCAGCATCTCTCCTCTCTGGGAAATGTGTAATTTTGGTTCTTTTAAAATAGTGACATGGAAATTTCTGGTTACTAAAACCCATTTAGCCGGGCGGTGGTGGCGCATGCCTTTAATCCCAGCACTTGGGAGGCAGAGGCAGGCGGATGTCTGAGTTCGAGGCCAGCCTGGTCTACAGAGTGAGTTCTAGGACAGCCAGGGCTACACAGAGAAACCCTGTCTTGAAAAACCAAAACCAAAACCAAACAAAACAACAAAACAACAAAACAAAACAAAAAACAATTTAACCTTTTTAAGAGCCCCTTTATCCTTTATTCAATAAGATGTCACTAGGCAGCTCCTAGTGGCCTGTGGACTCTAGCTCCAGCTACCTGAATAAAACACCTCCCTCTTCAAAGGCCCTTGTGCGTCACCAGCCTAGCCTCTGCCTGGTTTCCCAGCTGTTTTCACACCCCATTTCATAAGGTGATGTGATGGTTTGCATATGCTTGGCTCAGGGAGTGGCATTATTAGGTGTGGCCTTGTTACTGTGGGCGTGGGCTTTAAGACCCTCATCCTAGCTGTCTGGAAGTTAGTCTGCTAGCAGCCTCCAGATGAAGATGGAGAACTCTCAGCTCCCCCTGCACCATGCCTGCCTGGACGCCGCTGTGTTCCCACCTTGATGATAATGGACTGAACCTCTGAACCTGTAGCCAGTTAAATGTTGTCCTTATAAGACTGGCCTTGGTCAGCCGGGCACACACCTTTAATCCCAGCACTTGGGAGGCAGGGACAGGCAGATTTCTGAGTTCGAGGCCAGCCTGGTCTACAGAGTGAGTTCCAGGATAGCCAGGAGCCAGGGCTATACAGAGAAGCCCTGTCTCGAAAAACTAAAAAAAAAAAAAAAAAAAGTCTTTGCAGCAGTAAAATCTTAACTAAGACAGGCATCTCCTCTACAGCTGAGCAGAGCAGAAGATGGGGGTCCCAGGGTCCCAGTGGGCAGTATGAACCAGAGATCACATCTTTCTAACAGACTAGGCAGAACTGACTTGTTTCTAGAAGGCCTATCCTTTGGCGCAGTTAAGTCGGCTAGCCTCACAGTGGGGACTCCAGGCCTTGGCTGAAGCTGAAATTATGCTAAGGTCGCAAACAAGCTGTTGCCAGGTCTGACAGGGTTCCCCAAGTCCAGGGGCAGAACTGATTCCTGGGGCTGTCTTTCACAAAGCTTACAGGCTGGGCAAAGGTTCACTTTTCATGTGTATCCCCAGGTACCAGCTGCAGGGCATCCTCTTGTCACCCATGGAGCACCACAGCTTCACTAAAAGGGCTCTGGGTGCATATACATATGTACATATTGGCATCAGGAAAAAGATTTATTCACATAGAATCAAAGCACCTTCACAACAAGCCCCTGGGTCTCCTGGGAGGGGCCAGCAAGGGACTGTCTCAGTTGGCTTCAGATGGCTCGCTCCTGGGGTGTGGCCTTCCAGCTGGGTCAGTTCATCCTCTGAGATGAATGTACTGTGTCTCTCAGTAGATTCCATAGGTGGGCTCATGACTGTCCCTGTATCGGTCCAGATAGCGCAGAGGCTGCTCGTGGGGGAAGCGCTTCTGTTTGGGATGGTAAGGGGGTGGCCGTACAAATTCAAACACAGGTTCCCGCATGTCTGCAAGAAGAGTGAGGGGGCAGGGTGGACTCCTGCTGACCTGGGCCTCCGTGCCTGTGAGGCTGGAGTTCTGCCAGGCACTTCCCACCTTTCAAAGGCCACCTCCTGGCATGGCAGGAGAGGTCTTTGCCCTCAGGCCTGCCTGAGCACCAGGCCCTTACCTAGAAGCTGGTGGAAGGTATGGGTGACAGAGTCGTCCCAGCGGCACTGGAAGAAAGCCAGACCAGCTGGAGTCATGGCTTCCTGGTGTTTCTTGTAGAAATCAAAAGTGTGGAAGGTCCTCTGGGCCAGCTGGTAGCTGAGGAGATGGAGAGCATTTGAGTGGGAGGGAGCACGGTAGGCTGGGAAGCCCCTGGAGTCCACCCAGCCTGCATGCGGGTCTGCTGCCAAGTGCAAGACCTATACCAGGAGGAGGAAGGGGCAAGAGCCACCATCCCGGAGAACTGGCTTGAGGCCCGGGACAAGCAGGGATGTAGCTTACCAGGGTGAGGGACGGGTGTCCTCAGAGAAGTTGATTGGCTTGTCCTGTTTGAAGAGCAAGAAGGCGCAGCGGTGGAAGCCAGAGCCTCGAGCGGGGAAGGGGGGCAGGTAGGGACAAGTCTCCTGTCCTTCAGTCACCCTGTTGCCTGGGATGTTGGTTCTGGTAGGAGGAAAATACCCATTGGTTGCCATGCCAACAAGGTGGCAGGGGAACCCCAGTGTTGTGCCCCAGAGGCAGTCACTCCCAGGGCCACTCCTGTGTTCGATGAACACGAGCCGACCTCCAGGATCTCAGGGACATGCTGCAAACAGATTAGGGGACAGTCGTGGTTCAGAAACCAGAGAAGGGCTGGAGATGGCTCGGTAGCTAAGAGAGCCGACTGCTCTTTCAGGGACTCGGGTTCCATTTCCAGCACCAACATGGAGGCTCACAACCACCTGCAATTCCCAGGGAATCCAAAGGCACAGGCATGCATGTGGTGCACATGGAAAACACTTGTACACATGAAATATGTGTTTTATCGAGACAGGGTTTCTCTGTGTAGCCTTGGCTGTCCTGGAACTTACCCTGAAGACTAGGCTGTCCTCAAACTCATAGAGAATCGTCTGCCCGTCTCTAACTCCCAAGTGCTGAGACTAAAGGCATGTACCACCACTACTTGACTGATATAACAAAATTAAATCTAAAAAAATAAGACTGGGCGTGGGATCTGTTGCAATTTACTGGCATGTGTAAAAATAACAAACCCCTGTGGTGACAAGGTGGAGCAGCTGGCTCACAGCAGGGGAACCAGATGTCTGCCCATCATTTAGATCAGGAAGCCACGCCTTCCTTTGGGCTGCTTTTCTCTTCATGCTGTAGGGCCTGATGCTGCAGTAGCCACTGTACCCTCTTACCTGCCACGACTCCCAGAGAGCCCTGCTTAGCCAGCTTCCCAGTTCTAGATTCAATTCCAGGGGGCCTCATGAAGCTCAGGGTACCCGTGTGACCTCTGCCCCCAGGCCTGTGCTCAGAGCTGAAGCCAACAAGGACTGCTTGGGCAGCAACACCCACAGGGCCAGTGTCTGGAGATGCTTGTGCCACCACAAGCTGCTCCTGGTCTTTTTCTCCACTGACTGTCACAGCAGCCACGCGCGCGCGCGCGTACACACACACACACACACACACACACACACACACACACACACGCTCCCCACCCCTGGGTAGGAAACACATTCGCTACCATCACCAGTTTCATGGGACAGGAACTAACTGAGCAAGCAATGAGGAGGCTCGTGAGGACTGGCCAGGGCCTACTGCACTCTTTTTTTATAGACCACGTCCCATTTTGTAACTTCAAATTCACAGAGTCCTGCTTGCCTATGCCTCTGGGGTGCTGGGATTAAAGGAAGGCATGCAGTATCATCCCTGGCATCTGCCATTTTCTCCTGTATGTCTGTTAAGTACATTCTTGGATCCCAGGGCCTGACATTTCCAGGACCTGCTGGAGTCCCCTAGCTGGCTTCCCATCTAGATACTCACAGCAGCCAGTGAACATACTCGGCGTCTGGTTCCAGCAGGTGTCCATCTGCGCAGAAACACAGAGACAACCTTTCAAAGGAGTCAGAGCATGCCACCCTGGCCAGATCCCCAGATTCTTGGCTCAGGGCAGAGAGAAGTGGGGGGCCGGAGGCCAGGTGACCCCCATACACCTACCCAAGTTGATGAATAGCAGTGTCCACAAGGAATCCTTGTCTGCCTCGTATGTCACCTCCGGGGCCTGGGAAGCCTAGCAGGGAGAGATTGAGGGAGTGTTCGCCCTTGCCGGGGTGCAGTTCCTCTGTAGAGGGCTGGAGTTTTAGGGGCCCTGGAGAAAGGAGTATGCACCCCGACTCAAACCAAGACCCCTGACAGCTCCTCACAAGTGACAGGGAAAGAGATGTCTGTAAAGCCTGCTGAGCTGTTGTCCCGAGAGCTGAACTAAAGGACCACGTGCCATGTCTGTAAAGCCTGCTGAGCTGTTGTCCCGAGAGCTGAACTAAAGGACCACGTGCCA